TATGTTTACAGTGATTTTTCTGCCATTGTAGCTGAAAGCAGAGCACATTTCACAGTAGTCTTGTGGCTTAATCCTGCATCTGTGTTCTAGCTTTGTGAAAAATATTCCTGACAGGAATCCAATAGCAGTAAGGGTACCATTAGCTGGCACATGGAGGTCTGTGTGACCCTCCAAAGATATGCCTCCCCAGACCATTACTAACCCACTGCCAATCTGGCCATGCTGAATGATGATGTCCCAGGCATCTTAACATTCGCTGCAGTGTTTCCAGATTCTTTCACTTCTGTCATGTGCTAGTTCTCAACTTTGAAGATGCCAGTGCTAGTGCCAGTGGTGGACCTGCAGGTTCTGCTGTTCTCTGGAGAAAGATGATCTGCACCGTGCTGTGTCGTGAGCACAGTTCCCGCTAAAGGGCAATGAGCTCTCGTACCATCCTCATGGAGACAGTAGCTTCCTGGAGGCAGTTTTGTAGGATTCCGGCATTGCTGCTCCAGTCTTCACCAAAAAGAGCAGAAATCAGTCATGCTCCTGGGTTAATGGCCATCCGCACCTTTGTCCAGCTCACCTCCTGCTATAGGCCATCTTCTAGTATCTTCTTTACATTCCTGAGCCTGTGCAGTCAGGGGAGATAAAGACAGAGCAGTAGCTTTTTGACCATGACCAACTGCAAAACCACTCCCGTTTTGACTGTTGTCTCTTTGTTGCATCCCCAATGCATCTATGCTTTTATTTGCACCAGACAAGTTGAATGGATTCATAATCAGTTATGCTTCCTAAGTGGACAGATTGACATGCTTTAATACAGAGTTTGGGATATCACAACTGTTCTCATCACTGTTTAAAATGGGCTCTTTGGGAAAATAGATGTAGCTGATTATGCTTATCATTCAATTTTAAATAAGTCATGATTTGGTCGGTGGCTTGGCTGCTTGTCCGTCTTGCATTTTTAGCTACAGTAGACACACCCACACACGCAAAAGCATGCACTCATACACAAAGCCTATCACATTTGTATCTGCAACAATTGTAACTAATGCTCAGTTGTGCGTGTAGCTGCTATAGCTACAATTCATTCTTAAAGCAATGGTCATTCAATAACTGAAAATATACTTTTTTTAACATCACTATCACTTTTTACTGCGTCTGTGTGAAAGAGAGCAGAACAAAGACAGCAAAAGCAAAGCAGAGATTGTATATTTTGGGACAGTAAAAGCTGGGAGAATTCGAGGGTGGAGGAGGGAGCGCTCTAATAGCAGAGGTGGATAGACGGAAACAGTTCAGTCTACTGTGGCATTGTCCTGCCAAGAGTGAGCACTGGGGCAGCATGGAAACTTTCCCCCTCTGACTCTCAGGCAGTCGCAGGAGAAGTCGTCGGTATTGGATATCCAAGAGAAAGAAAAAAAGGAAACAGTAAATTAAAGATCCAGACATGGATGGAAAAGTTTGTCAGCTGAATTCAATAGTTTTGCACGTAACGAGATCCACTGTTTTAGCAATTCCTTCTGAAGTCACTTCAAACCTTCTTGAGGAATGGTCCAGCTCGTTCCCTAAACAGTTGCTTGGGTAAAACAGGCTATGTGATAGCTAATGTGACAAAGATGCATGACAGCATCGTGCACGTTTGTAATGCTAACGAAAGCTGTCCACAAATAGGTTCACACAAGCACCCTCAAAAGTAGGTCTTTGTCATTAGAACCACAATTTGTCCACAAACATACACACAACATACACAGACTCACAAGGTGAAAGCAGCACTACCTAAGCTATTACATTTATTGTAATGAGGGGGGTTTTTTTTAGACACGTTATCAGCCAAATACCTGACATTCAGTGAGTTTTACACAAAAACAGCGCCTTAGTAGCACGTTAGCATCTCACTGCACAGAAACATTAAAGCGGATGATTAGGAATTACAGAAACAAAAATAAAGACAGACAGCAACGAATGAGAGAATGCTTTCAAACTAGAATTGAGTTAAAAGTGGCCTTCGGCTGTTACAGGCGAGGCTCATATAGTAGGTTTGGACTACAGCATGTTATGCGTGTTATGCACCACATTCAGGGATGAGGCAAAACTGTATCAGGGGAACCAATTATCATTTTTGGCAGCAGCTGTTTATAATAGCATTTTCATCACCTGTTGACAATTTATAGCAGATGTTTCTGAGATACGACACAGTAAGACACTGTGGCTTGTCATCCATCAGTGGTCAGAAGGTGCTCCACCGCCACAGCTCACACCAAAATATCTTAACAACTACTAGATGGGCCCGCCATAGATTCCAGTGACTTTTCGTCATTGTTCCTGGTGTAATGACAACATACAGAACTTTAGAATTAATCATATTTACCAT